GGGTTTAGGGTTTAGGGTTTAGGGCTTAGGGTTTAGGGTTTAGGGTTCAGGGTTGGGGTTGAGGGTTTAGGGTTTACGATTCACCAAACCCGCAGCCACCCGCTGAAGATATGCCATATCAAGGCCCCATTACTTCTACCAAGTCTACCTGAGCGCTTATCCCTAAACCGCAGGTTTAGCCCTATATACAAATTAAGGGCCCTTGCCTCAGAACCCTTTTAAAGGAGGTTAGGGACCATACTACGGGACCATGAAACTACCCTAAGATTTAAGGTGTCGTGTGTGGGTCGGGGGCCACGGTCTAAACCATAATCCCTCAACCTGACGCCGAAATACGCCTACAGCCCAACAGTTTGAGGACGCCACATGACAAATTGGGTCTTCCTCTCTCCTGCCCGCCCGCCGACTACCCGCACGAATCCAGGTGCCCCTTGCGACGGGGCCTAAGCCATAAACCCTATAAACCCTAAATCCCAAACCCTGGGGTAGATCTCGGGAACTCATTTGGGGTTCCTATGGGTTTATAGACGAGAAATACAGGGTCGTTTTTGACTCCCTAAAACCCAAACTCCAAACCCTAAATCCTACCCTAAACCCAGATTTTGTGAACATCTTGGTCGACTACCACATCTCAAAGTAAAGCATCGTTTCGCAAATCTTCGGCCTTAGGTTCCTGAAACACACTCTGCAAGACTTGAACCCTGAACCCTAAATGGTTTATGGTTTAGGGATTTAGGGTGCAGGGTTCTGAGCATAGCCTGAAGGACCTTGGCCGAACCACATGCATCTGCATGCAGAAGATCCAGGCCTTCGGCGGCACGGGCTAGCCAGAGATCCCACCGTATTCCTTAGTTACGCTTTAGGAAACGGATCTTCCTTTCGGTTTAGTTTTTGTTTCGGCCGGGCGGCACTGTGCAGAAGAAACATGTAGGATGAGACGCAAGCTTGATAACCCGAAACCGTCAGGACTAAGGCCTAAGCCTAGACCCTAAAGCTTAAAGCCCCAAACCCCGAGTTGCAGATCACGCTTGCAGTCCCAGGTAGGAGTCACAGGTTTAGGGGCCGACAGAAATTTGCTGTCCAAACCCCCTTCAACGGCATAGGCCCTAAACTCTGCACATGACTCCCAACACCCTAGATAATTAGGCTCTGTGCCCCCATATCAACAAACCCAACAACAAACCCAACAACCACCCGAAACCCTAAACCCGAACCCAACACTCGCATCTCCAACACCTCAACCCCCTAAACCTTCAGCCCCCAAAGGTCCTAAACCCCGAAGCCCCTAAGTCCTTTCTTCATGTGCCCCCAGGATCGAGTCTGGCCCTTACCACGTGAAGGTGTCGAGGGTTCAGGACTGAGGGTTGAGCTTGGCCGCTGTTTGCTTAAGAGCCCATCCCCCAAACAAAAGCAAGGAACATGATTCTTCCTTGTAAGGGCAATATATATATATATATATACACACATGTGGATTGTGCTCTCTTATGTTTGAGGGGTTCTCCAGCAAAGAGTAGTTGAGGGTTCAGGCATTAAAGGGCTTTGCAGGCCTTGCGGATGAACCAGCGTTTGATCCGTGCTCACAGGCTCTAGCTTATCTAAGGTGGTCCCTTAATGTGGCCCCCTTACCTTCTACAAAGGGTTCTGAAGTATGCGCCCTCGGGTTGTCTAGGGTATGTACGGATTATACTAAGAAATCATGTAACTACCCTAAACCCTAAACCCTAAACCCTAAACCCTAAACCCTAAACCCTAAACCCTCAAACCTAGCCTTAGAGTATAATCTGTAGGCTGCAGGTTCCGATGCTCACTTCGGATTTGGTGCTTTGGCAGAGGTTTCGTCTGTCCGGTGCATGGAGGGGTGGAGCCCGACGCCCTGAATCCTAAACCCGAAGTCCGGCTGATCCAGGGGTTAGGGTTTAGGGTTTAAGGTTTAGGGTTTAGGGTTTAGGGTTTAGGGTTTAGGGTTTAGGGTTTAGGGTTTTGTACTGCAACCCTGAAACCCTAACCCCGGCAACCCTGACACCTTGAAGGCTTGAGGGTGCTCCTTGAAGGTTCATGCGGCTTACTGCCCAGTCGTAGTCAAGTCATCAGCCAACTTACGTCTGGAGTAACCTAACCTTTCCTATCTACACCCAGAGACTCCAAAACCCCTTAAATCCCTTAATTCACAATAGGAGCCCTTTAATATGATTTAAGGTCTATTCCTTAATTAAGGGGGTTTCGGAGTCTTTGGGCAGCGAGTTATGCACCTTCAAGCAGAGGCCATTAGGCCATTCTTCCCAGATCTGAGCCTTCAGCTCTCGTTAGTACTTAGCTTCCCTCACCTGAAACCCTATAATCCCTAAACCCTAAACGCTAAACCCTAAACCCTAAACCCTAAACCCTAAACCCTAAACCCTAAACCCTAACCCCAACCTGAGGCCCGCCATATGGACTCCTGGAGCGGCGCGCCCGAGAACGCGCCGAGGTGCGCGACAGGGTATTCCCAACGTCCCAGTATGGGTTTAGGGTTTAGGGTTTAGGGTTTAGGGTTTAGGATTTAGGATTTAGGGTTTAGGGTTTAGGGTTTAGGGTTTAGGGTTCGGAGTTTATTTGGGGTTTAGGGTTTAGGATTTAGGGTTTAGATGCAAGCAAAGAAGAGGTTTAGGGCTTAGGGTTTAGGGTTTAGGGCTCAGGGTTTAGGGTTTAGGGTTGGAACAGGTCGGGGCTGGGTCAGGGTTTGAGGGCTTAGGAGGGTGTAGCTTTGTGGCCTTTACTCTCCGCGCGGCCCTTAAGTTTACATCACAAAGGCCCAGGGTTTTTTAGGAACTTTGAGTTTTAGGGTTTAGGGTTTAGGGTTTAGGGTTTCGGGTGCCGTTGTTTTTTCAAGGTTTTGAAGGGTTCAGTTCCCTAATTTTCCCAGGGCGAGAATTTCTGCTACCTACGGGCGCCCCCTGGCCCGACAATCTCATGGGGTGTAGGGTGGGTTTAGGGTTTAGGGTTTAGGGTTTAGGGTTTAGGGTTTAGGGTTTAGGGTTTAGGGTTTAGGGTCTTATGTGTTCCCTTCTGAAGATTCAATCTTCCCATGGGCCATGCCTGGCTGCGACGGGACCATGGGTTTGCTTCCGTGAAGTGCATGTCATGGGCTTCGGCCCCGGGCCTCTACTTAGGGTTTAGGGTTTAGGGTTTAGGGTTTAGGGTTTAGGGGTTTGGGGTTTAGGGTTTAGGGTTTCGGGGACACTTTTAAAACATCCTCTCAGGGAAGACATGGGCCATAGTAGGGGTGTTGTCTGAGGGAAACCTCGTAGGCGTACATCCTTGGGGGTCCGAGTATGACTTCCTCGAACATGGGAGGTTCATGGTTACATCTCAGGCTTCAGAAACCAGGCATGGTAGAAGGGGGAGAGGGTGGGGGGGGGGGGTGTAAGGGCCCCATCTTCCTCAAACAAGGGCTCATATGATCCCAAACCTCAGGGGATATATGGACCCCCTACACCCCTCTCCCTTCCACCCCCCCCTTGGTTCCTTATGAAGGCGAGATGTAGGCGAGCCATGCTTGTGTAAGGTCACTTACAGCCACATCTCGGGGGTTTGTAAGCTCCAGGCACCCTCAACCATATACCTTAAGCCCTAAATACCGTTTGGAACCCTATTTCAAGCTAGCCCTGAACTTTTGAGTAGAGCACTCAGGAATCCAGATTGAGTCGGGATTCACCTGCAACCCTAAACCCTAAACCCCAAACCCTAATCCCTAAACCCTAAACCCTAAACGCATTGGGGCCGGCGTCGTTCGCCCAGCATCGGGCCACTCGAATTACCGCGTCTCCATTAGGGTTTAGGGTTTTGGGTTTTGGGTTGTGGGTTTTGGGTTTTGGGTTTGGGATTTAGGGTATCGTGGTGCCCTTGCTGGTTCCGGAGCGGGCGCTACTCCGAAAGGACGATGTGGCAGATCGATCTGGACCTTCTGCGCCCTTGAGTCCTTAGTATGGGGGTTAGGGTGTAGGGTTTAGGGTTACTAGGATACTAGGACCCAGAGTAGGCCCTTAATCCCGTTTTTTTTAGGGTTTGGGCTCCCTTATAAACCCCTCCAAACCAAAAAGGGCACCTTTTTATTCCCAGGTTACTCCTGGGTCTAGTCCCTAACCCGTTCTGTTTAGGTTTATAACTACTATTTGCTTAAGAACCCCCCAAAAAAACAGGAATCCCTACATGACCCTTATGAGGAAGCATATGTGTTTTTCGCCTGGTTCTTTTGCAATTCGTAGAAAACCGTTCTGTTCAGGGTTTCGGGTTTAAGGTTTGAAGCGTCTTCAACCCTAAGCCCCAAACACCCCCAAAGCCCCGTAAACCCTACACAAAACCCAAAATACCACCTAAACCCTGACCCTACACCCCAAAAACCCACAACCCTAAAGCCTACACCCTAAACCCCAGACCCTAAATCCTAAACCCTAAACCCTAAACCCTAAACCCCACACCCCTAAAGCCTACACGTTCGAGCCCCTGGCTTCCCCCAGGCTGGTTGACCTCATCGAGCCAGCCAAGCCGCAGTGACCCCCCCCTTCCGCCCTAAGTTCCCCTGGGGTTTAGGGTTTAGGGTTTATAGGGGTTAGGGGTTAGGGGTTAGGGTTTTAGGGTTTTAGGGTTTTAGGGTTTAGGTTAGCGATAATTGGAAATTGGGAGCTTCGTGGGTTCTGCGTCTCATTGAGAGGCTTTGCCGTCTTGCGCGTCAGCGTCGCACTGATAGGAGCAGCGATGGGCTCCTAAACCGCCTAAACCCTAAACCACCCTAAGGCTCTTGGGCCCTCAAACCCTTAGGAATTGAGACCCCAGAGCCCTCATTAGGAGGTACCGGTCCCTCTGTAGGAGGGTCCTTGGAGCCTTAGGGCACTAAACCCCTAAACCCTAGGCCCGGTACACCCTATGAAGCAGGTTTCATCTCTGAAGCCTACACTCCGCGCAGATCCGATGCTGCTCATGACACACTGTACAAACACAGGGCTAGTTTCGTGTTTCCACACATGGTGCGCGTCCTGACGGTTGCTGGGGAGGTGCTGGCAGATCTCCCAACAGAGGATGTTGACAGCGTGCGGAGCTTGAAGCTGCTATTGGCGAAATTGCAGGGAATCTCGCGCTTCCGACAAAGAATCTTACAGTCAGGCAGCATCCTTGCAGACGACGCACTGCTGAATCTGTCCGTTGACGTCCAGCTGGTTGTGCTGCCAGTTTCCAGCATGTCACCAGAGCAAGCAGTAAAGCTTACCCAATCTGCTGAGTTGGGCTACGACGTTGAGGTGGAAAATCTCCTTCAAACGCCTGTAGATCCCAACGATTCCCACCGCGACGGGTACGGACCACTCCTTGCTGCAGCGAGCGGCCATTCTGAGGTTGTGAACTTGCTGCTTGAGGCAAACGCTGATGTTGCGGCCCACAATGAGGACGGCGAGACAGCTCTCGTGCTAGCTTCCGATAAAGGTTCTCCGGAGATTACGAAGTCTTTGCTGGAAGCTGGGGCTGGCATGAACGTGGAGGAGAGGCACTGGGCAATTTATCGTCCTTCAGAACTTGATGACGTTCCAAACTTTTCTGAAATTGTGAAGTTGCTCGTCAGACGAGACTTAGACGACGCTCTCGGCCAGCGGGGGCTTGTTTCAGCATCCACAGAGGGGCAGTGTGAAGGTTGTGCGCTTGCTATTGAAGGCTGGGTGCAATCCGGATCTCATCGACAACGGCGGGCGCACTGCCCTCATGTGGGCTGCATTAAAGAGTCTGGACACAGGTGATGCACATGATGTGCATGTCAGGATTGTCCGTTTGCTGCTACGTGCCGGAGCTAACAAGGATTTGGTTGACAATGGTGGCAACACAGCCCTCACCCTTGCAGCTGACCATGGCAACGCTGAGATCGTGCGTGTTTTGCTAGCGGCGGGTGCTGACAGGACATTGAAGAACGGTTTAGGGTTTAGGGTTTAGGGTTTAGGGTTTAGGGTTTAAGGTTTCACGGCCCTGGAAATCGCATCGGACTTGGGTTGGGCAAAGGTTGTGCACATGTTGCGGGCCATAGTCACCAAGCAACAACATGCAAAGCACACGGCAGACTTGCAGAAGGAGTGGGCGCATCGCACCATGTCAGTGTGAGAAAGGTCGCCTTCCCGGAGGAATTTTTTGGTAAGGAGAGGTGATGGCATGTTTGGAGTCTGAAGCGGATGCAGGCAAGGATATTGAACATGGCTTTTGATGTAAAAAAAGGGGCCGGAAAAATCACGAATCGTATTCCCCGGTCCCCTATATCAGTAGACTATAAGAACTAAGAACCCCCAAAACCCTGTTCTAATTAGGGTTTAGGGTTTAGGGTTTATGAAGGCCCCTCTAGTAGACTCCTTCTGGGATGGTTCTGCCTTGGATAAGCTTGAGCTGTGTGAGAGACGGCGTGACCTTCACTGTACCAGGATGAACTGCGGAATAAGATGGTACAGGAACCCTAAACCCTAAACCCTAAACCCTCAACCCGAAGTCATGCTGTGAATTCTGTGAGTATGGTGTTTTGCTGAGACTTGGGATGTGGTGGGAAGTCCAGTTCTGGTTTTTGGATTAGGAACGGTTGATGTGGTGGCTTGCTGATGCTTGGGGGGAAGCGTGTGGGGGGCCTGGGGGGGTCTAGGGGGTAGGCGTGGCGCGAGCTGGGAAATGGCCCTTGCTGACTCTGGGGTGGTCAGAAGCCGCCGCCCTTTTGGGCTCAGATGCGCTGAGTTCTTTTAAAGTGGCAGCAGAAGGTGCCCTAAAATTCTCAGACCCTCACACCGTGAACCTGAATAACATCCCCTTAAGCCCTCTGGGTCCCAAGCCCCTGAAGCCTTCATCCCCTAAACCTGCAACTCGAGCCGGCAGGTACCGTGCTGCTTTCTTCTTTGCCGTGGGCAACACGCCGGCGCACTCAGATGGGGCCCTGAAGAATTATCAACCTAAACCCGAACCTCTGAGTCCTAAGCCCTATAAGGGTTTAGGGGTCTAGGGTTAGGGTACTTACGATCAAGCCCCAACTCTCTCATTCTAAACCCTAAACCCTAAACCCTGAACCCTAAACCCTAAATCCTAAACTTTTCTCTCTCAGGCTGGTGGCGAAAGACCTGGAGCAGGCCACGCGCATTGGCCTGCAGGGCCGAACTCGGCACCGGGTGGTGACGCGCCTCGGCAGGTTTGGGGCTTTTAGGGGTTTCAGGTTTTTAGGGTTTTAGGGGTTTTTAGGGTCTGAGGTTGAATGTTTAGGGTTTAGGGTTTTGAGGTGTAGGGTTTCAAGGTTAATTTTACAGGGTTTAAGGGTTTAGGGGTTCGGGGTTTCTAGGCTTTAAGGATGTAGGGTTTCAGGGTTCAAGAGTTTAGGGGTTTAGGGGTTTAAGGTTTTGGTTTTAGGGTTTTAGGGTTTCAGGGTCCAAGGGTTGAGGGGGGTTTGGGGTTCAGGGTGTCGCGTTTTGCAGGGTTTAGGGTTTAGGGTTTTGGGCTTAGGGCTTAGGGTTTAGGGTTTAGGGTTTAGGGTTTAGGGTTTGGGGATCCTATAAACCCTCTGCTGAATTTAGGCCGGGCGTTGTAGAAGTTTTTGCAAAGTTGAACGCCAGAATCAAACCAATCCCTCAACTCCCAAGCCCTAAGCACTAAGAACTAAGCCCTAAGCCCTAAACCCGCAAACCCCAACCCCAATGCACATCTTCCCCACTCCACGAACCCTAAAACCTAAACCCTGCACCCTAATCCCTGAGTCTTGGTAGCCCAGTGGTACGCACACCAACCCAAAAAATGGGTGCCGCTATAATACGGTTACTGGGCTAAAACACCTCCTCCCCCCCTCCCCTAAACCCTATTTACCCTAAACCCTAAACCCTGCACCCTAAAACCTAAACCCTAAACCCTGCACCCCAAACCCTAAACCCTGCACCCTAAACCCTAAAACCCTAAACCCTAAACCCTAAACCCTGAATCGAAACCTGAGGCTGGCGGGCGGCTTGATCGATGCCAGCGGCACGATGTCCGGCGGCGGCGGGAAAGTGGCCAGTGGTGGTATGAGGCCCGGGGTTAGGGGCCGAGTTTACAGGGTGGGGCCCCCTTACTATACTAACTGTAGTTAAGGGACTTAGAACCTAACTTAGGGTCCTTATAACCCAACTTAGGGCCCTTATAACTCTACTTATAACTAGGGGGCCCCACCCTGTAGGGTTTAGGGCTAGGGTTGATGGTCGATTTTCTTTAGCTCCAATGTTCTATACTGGGGGTTTTTATGATGGGCCTTAGATTCTCCTTAACTCCAATGTTTGATTGTTTTTGTTTGCCTATCACGGCTTATGACGAACCTGAGGTTTGCTCCTTAACTTCAAGGTTTTTTTTCCTCCAGGGCTCTGGTCCTGCCTCGACTGAACCTGGGTCTTGGAGTACTAGACTTTAATACTTTTTTTGGTTCTGGGTTCCTACTATAGCTACTTATACCTAAGAAGCATATACTTTTTTCCAGGGTCTACTCCAAAGCTAAGGAACCCAGGTGCAGGTCTTCAGAGATCTTGGGGCTGGGGGGTTATAGGGTTTGCGGTTCAGGGTTTTGGGGTTTAGGCGGTTTAGGGCTTAGGGTTTGGATCTGGGACAGGCGACGTGTTCTTTCATGGTACTTTTCTAGATTCTCCAGCATTGCTTGCGGGTTGCCCTTATAAGAACATCCTAAACCCTACGCCCCCCCATCGCCGTGAAGGGATCCATCTGTGTGCGTAGCCAGGAAATGGGTGCCTTAATTGGGTCTTGGAGTACTATACTTTAATACTTTTTTTGGGTCTTGGACTCCTATTATAGCTAATTATACCTAAAAAGTATATACTTTTTTCCAGGGTCGACTCCAAAGCTAAGTTAAAAGGGGGATTTATAAGATGACCCTTAAGACGAGGGGCAGGTTTAGGATTTAGGGTGTAGGGTTTGGTAGGGTCGGCAGGGTTTGGGTTTCATTTGTTATTCGGTTGTCGCTTGAGGTGTTTAGGGTTTGGGGGTGTTCCGTTCGCAGGCGTCTCGGAGAACGCTCTAAATTTAGAGTTTTGTCTCTGCCTTGCATCCGCTTAATCCTCAAACGTAAACCTTTAAGTCCTCAATCCCCAAACCCTAGATCCCACAAGGCCCAGAAGCTTCACCAAGCCCTAAACCCTCAACCCTAAACCTCAAACCCCAAACCCGCAACACCTTTTCACTAAACCCGAAGCCCTAGCCCTAACCCCAAACCCTAAACCTCAAACCCCAAACCCGAAACCCTAAGCCTAAACCCTAATCCCCAAACCCAAAAACCCAAAAAACCCTAGACACCCTAAACCCTAAAAACCCTAAACACCCTAAAATCCCTAAACCCTAAACCCTAAACCCTAAACCCTAAACCCTAAACCCTAAACCCTAAACCCTAAACCCTAAACCCTAAACCCTAAACCCCACTGCCATGTCAGGGCCTCCGTCTGCAAATACTCCCAGGAGGAGGTGAAGAAGTTCGTGCAGGTGGGGGTTTAGGGTTTAGGGTTTAGGGTTTAGGGTTTAGGGTTTGGGGTTTAGGGTTTTAGGGTTTTAGGGTTTTAGGGTTTTAGGGTTTTAGGGTTTTAGGGTTTAGGGTTTGGGGTTTAGGGTTTAGGGTTTAGGGTTTAGGGTTTAGGGTTTAGGGTTTGGGGTTTAGGGTTTAGGGTTTAGGCATAGGGGGTTGCGGATTTAGTTTAGAGGTCTGGGGGGGGCGGGGGGGGGCGGGGGAACGCGAAGCGAGCGACGGCGACTACGCTAGCCAGGAGCACCGTGTGGCAGATCTGCCGCAAAAGGCACTGGACCACTCATCGCTTGCATGAGCACCTTGCTAAGGGTCCATGTACCTAAATAGGGAATTCTGGGGCCTTCAAGTATCTGCTACATAGGGACTTTGGGGCCCAAGTATATCAGACTAAGGTACATGGACCCTTAGGGGTGTTCCATGATCTTGAAGGAGGCAGACCCCGACCTCGGTGAGCCCGCTCAACTTTAGGGTTTAAGGTTTAGGGTTTAGGGACGCAGCAAGCTTCTTAAACGTCCCGTGCGGCGTGCAAGGTTCCCTTCTAAGGTAACCCGCCCCCCCCCAAGAGTACCCTTACTGGGTCTTGGAGTACTATACTTTAATACTTTTTTTGGGTCTTGGGCTCCTATTATAGCTAATTGTACCTAAAAAGTATATACTTTTTTTCCAGGGTCGACTCCAAAGCTAAACTTAGAATTAAATGGTTACTGGGCTACCAAGTCGTTTTAGGTTTGGGTTGGGGTGAGGGTTTAGGGTGCCGGTGGCATCTTTGGGATTCGACTCCACAGACCCTCAAATCGCCAAGTCCCCAATCTCCCGAAAACCCCCACTCCTTAAACCCCAAAACCCCTGAAGCCCCAAAGCCTTCAACCCTGCAAGCAAAATTCTGAAGGGGTTAGGGGTTTAGGGTTTAGGGTCTAGGGTTCAGCACTCCGGGTCGAGCAGTTTTGTTGTAAAGCTTTATTTACGGCTCAGATATAACACCCCCCCACCAGAGAATCCCACAACATTGAGAATGCAAAAAAGGCCTTATTCGGAAAGAAAAGAAACGGCCTTATTCCGAAAATAAAGCGGCCTGATTCTGAAGTTCAATCAAGGTTTACTGTATATATATATATATATATATACATATATATATATATGGTAGAGAGGGTTTAGGGTTTAGGCAGGGTCACCTCACGAAAGGCCTACGAGGAAGCCAACACACAGCTGATGCAGCTTCGCCAGGAGCGGGAGGCTGGACTTTTGCGGTGGTGAGGGCTGAAAAGGGTTTTGGGGTTTAGGGTTTAGGGTTTGGGGTTTCGGGTTTGGGGTTTAGGGCCCGAACTCAAGAATCCAAAAAACGCTTGGTAGCCCGGTGGTACCCTCTTCTCTTGTTTTTGTCCAAGGCTCCCTTTTTGAGCAACCATCCCCGAAAAGGGTACTCTTATTGGAATTGCAATGGGCTACCAAGAACAAGATCCCAAAATAGATGCCAAGCCCGAAAAGGGTACTCTTATTGGAATTGCAACATGGTTACTGGGCTACCCTTGTTGTATTGCGTCTAGCAACTTGCAGTTTGCGGTCTTCGTCGGGTTTATGTGGGGCCCTCACCATGCCTGAAGCCTTGAGAACCCCAAAGCACAACCTAGACCCTGAACCCCAATCCCTAAACCCTACATCCGTAACCCCGAATCCCCTCAATGCCTAACCTACACCCTAAACCCTAAACCTTAAGATTCCTAAACCCTAAGCCCAAAACCCTACATCCTAAAAAACCTGAACCTTAACCCTAAACCTAAAGATTCCTACAAGCCATCCACAGGCCCTGGATGAGGCGCTGAACAGCACGGATCGGGAGATCCCCGAGCTGGAGCTTCGCGAGAGGAGCTGCCGGGTTAATGGGGTTCGGGGTTGAGGGCTTAGGGTTTAGAATCTAGGGTTTAGGGTTTAATTAGGAGTTAGGATTTAGGGTTAATAATAAGATTTTGAGGGCTTCTTTGCCCCGCTACCCCCTACCTCCCCCCCCCTCACCCCAGCCACCCCCCACACCCCCCCCCCCAACGTCAGGGTTAAAGTCAGGGAGTCCTCTAATTTAAGAGCCTCCGGCTCAATAAAGTCAGGGAGTCCTCTAACCCTAAACCCTAAACCCTAAAACCCTAAACCCTAAACCCTAAACCCCAAGATTCAGGACCTGCAGCATGGACGTGAACGCCTTGAAGAAGCAAGCCGAGGACCGGCGAATGGGGTTTAGGGTTTGGGGTTTAGGGTTTAGGGTTTAGGGTTTAGGGTTTGGGGTTTAGGGTTCAGGGTTTAGGGTTTAGGGTTTAGGGTTTGGGGTTTAGGGTTTGGGGTTTAGGGCCTCAAGGATTTCTCAAGTGGCTCGACCTGGGACCGCTAAGAGGGCTCCAGCGGTTCCAGGGGTTGAGGGGCTCAGGGTTTCATTTGCTCCAGACTTAGGGCTTCCAGGGTTGAGGGGTTTAGAATATAGGGTTTGGGGTTTAGGGTTCGGGGTTTAGGGTTTAGGGTTTCGGGTTTAGGGTTTGGGGTTTAGGGTTTAGGGTTTAGGGTTTAGGGTACTAGGGTTTAAGTTCAGGCTTCCATGGCTTGGGTTAGAGGGTCCGGATTTTCAGGGTGCATGATCCTGCAGAGGTTCCACGTTTTAGGGTGCAGGGTTTGGGGTTTAGGGCAGTCTGTCATGATATGAGGGGCCTGTGAGAACAGATAAGAGATGGGCTTACGAGACTGTGGGCTTGTGACTTGGGGGGGGGTTTGGTTAGGGTGAGTGTGTGGTCTAAGCGTATCGTTATGGTGTTTAAGGTTGAGGGTGAGGGTTCAGTCTTTAGGGCTCAGAGTTTAGGGCTTAGGTTTGAGGGTTGGGGGTTTAGTGTTTTGGTTTGAGGGTTCACCCTGGACATCTTCGTTCCATGTCTTCAGGTCAGGAACGTGCAGGCTTTCCCCAACGCCCGACACCCTACCCTGCTCTGGGCCGGGGGCGGGGGGCGGGGGGGGGGGGGCGGGGGTCTGGATCATGGATGAGCAAAACGACGCCCCTTAAACCCTTTAGGATTTAGGGTTTAGGGTCGAGGGTAGGGTCTAGGGTCTCAAAACGAAGCCTCAAACCCTACAGTAACTCAGCCCACCATTGTGCAGGCTTACGAGTCAAGGCTGAAAACGCTCGGTGCCCCAGTGCATGAGTTTCACCCTGCTCCTCCCCCCTTCCCCCCAAACCCTGCACGCTACACCCTTAAACCCTAAACCCTAAACCCGGCCCCCGCCATAGTTGGGGGTCCTCATTTAGTAGGAATAACACAGTTCAAAGTGTTACGTCTGTAGTCTTTCGTCATATCTTGGAGAAGTAAGAATCTGCAGGGAACTGGAGTCTCGGGTGATCAGTGATACTCTTGCCCGAAAACCCTAAACCCTGAACCCTGAACCCTAAACCCTAAACCCTAAACCCCAAACCCCAAACCCCAAACCCTAAACCAAAACCCCTGCTCCCTCAACCCAAGAGAGTGCTAGGCAAGCTCCCCTAAGCACTTGAAGCTCCAAACCATCCTAGAAGAGGAAGCCCCAGGTCGGCACACTCCCGAAACCCTAAACCCTAAACCCTAAACCCCAAACCCCAAACCCCAAACCCTAAACCCTAAACCCTAAACCCTAAACCCTAAACCCCTGCACTGAGCCCTTGCTTTCAACTAAGGCTGAAAGTGCCTCAGCTCACTGGCGAAGAGAAGGCGAAGATCAAACAGTCGGGGTCCTCGGCGCATCAACTCGGGACGGTGGGGGTTTTAGGGGCCTCCCTGAACCCTATTAGCCCTATCAACCCTATGATGAACCCTGTCAACCCTATAAACTCTGCTATAAACCCTACAAATCGGAAAAAAAAAAAAAAAAAAAACAAACCCGACTTGGGGGTTAGGGTTTGGGGTTTTGGGGTGTTGGGGTTTTGGGGGGGGGTTTATGGGGTTTGGGTGGGTTTGGGGGGCTTTAGAGGGTGTCGGGCTTTAGGTCGAGGTCGCACCCGTGTCCCCCGCAATCCACACCCAAACCCCTACTGGGGAGACAGTAGCTAAGGGTCCATGTACTTCCCGAAGTCCCTACATAGGAGGTGCTTTAAGGCCCAAGCACTCCCTGTTCAGGTACACGGGCCCTTGGAATTTGTTGTGTAGTTAGAGAACTCCACATTCCTAAACTCCCTAACTCCCTAAATTTTCGAAACTCCCCAAACCCCCGGGGCCTTGCTTTCCATTGGGGCTGTCGGAAAGGAGCCGCAGAGGTAAGTACGTCCAAATCTAGCCCCAGCCGAAACCCTAAACCGTAAACCCTACAGCCGAAACCCTAAAGCCCCAACCGTAAGCCCTGAACCCTGAACCCTCCCAAACCCGAAGCACTTGCTTCGAATCATGAAGCCGTTGTACGAGGTTGGAGGTTCATGGTACTTACTAAATTTTAGCTGTACTTGTCACCCAATTATATCCGTATTGGGGCACTTAAAGGGCTTACAACTGGGTGATAAGTACACTGGTAACTGGGATATAATTGCCATGCCCTATTCCTAAACCCTAAACCCTTAACCCTAAACGGTTTTGCTACAAACCCGTGTCATGCAGTGCCATGAGCCTCCAAGTAAGAGGTTGGAGAAGCTCATCGAGAGCCGTTCGGAGGAGCTGAGTACCATCATGGAGCAGCATCAGGCCCGGTTCCCGGGCTCTGCGGCTTAGGGGTTTAGGGTTTGGGGTTTGGGGCTTAGGGTTTGGGATCTAGGGTTTAGGGTTTAGGGTTAGGGTTTGGGATGAGGAATTAGTACCCTCAAAGTTTGAGGTCTAAGGGGTCTACGCTCGAAGCTAGGTTTCCTTGTAAACCGCACGAAAGCGCAAAAGCAGTACAGTTTCTGCAGGCTTTATCTAGACCCCCGATCACTGTGCTTTTAATGCGTTTGACAGCATAGAATTGATGAAGATGCCCCCAAAAAGTGTTTACGGGTAGGGTTAATTCCCGAAATGGAAGTACACTTGGGGGCTCTGACCAGGGTGTATGATCCTAAGCTCAAAAACCCAAAAGTCCTAAAACCTTGCAGCCCTAAAACCCTAAAACCCAAACCCCAACCCCTAAGCTCCAGACCCGACCTAACAGCAGGATGCGCCCCCCAACCCCAAACCCAAAGCCCAAAACCCTCAAAGCCTACACCCTAAACCCTAAACCCAAAACCCCAAACTCCCACCCTAAGGACGCGTTGAGGTTTTGTCTCAGGTTGGAACCATGCACCCTCAGTACGGTCCCTTACCCTTGTTGAATGGGGTTATGCTTAGGGTTTAGGGTTTAGGGTTTAGGGTTTAGGGTTTAGGGTTTAGGGTTTAGGGTTTAGGGTTTAGGGTTTGGTGACTTTGAACCCTGTAGATTCCGAAGGCAAAGTGATTCCTAACCTTAGAATGCTCCTCTCTCTGTCCTTCGAACCTCATGCAGGTGCTTCTTAGTCAACCTTCAACCCTCTTCGAGTACCACGAACCCTCTTCAAACCCAAAGGTAGGGTTTAGGGTTAGGGGCTAAGGGTTTAAGGGTTGAAGGGTTTAGGATTCAAGGGTTTAGGGTTTAGTGTGTAGGGTTTCGGGGTCTAGGGTCTGAACCTCGACCCTCAACCGCTTCAGCCGAAGGTTGTTGAGGAGGAGGTGCGAGATCTTCACAACCAGCTCCTTAGCCGAACTTCCTGGAGACTCCAATGCCCCAGTTGCGGAGCACTCCTTAATTAACTGTACATATTGGCATCCGTTTAATTGTAAGGAATATGCCTAAACCCCTGTAATCCCTAAACCCTAAACCGCCCAACCAGTTCATGTACGTAGGTAATAGATTCTCAAACCCTACAGATACCACATTGGAGTTACTTCGATGCCCAAGCATACCTTGTTTAGGTACGTAAGCCCTAAACCCCAAACCCTAAACCCTAAACCCTAAACCGTGAGCGGCGGTTGACACTAGCAAGTGGAGACAGCCGTCTGAAGCCGTACCCAATTAAAGCCTGGAGGTTAATGGATTTAGGCCCCAAAGTCCCGATTTCAGAGACACTTGAAGGCCCAAGAGCTCCCTGTTTAGGTGCAGGGACCCGTTGGGTTAGATCCTCAGCCTTTCTTGGGCGCAACGGGTTTCTTAGCGAACCCAAACCCCAAATGTGCACCCAAGATTCGGTCTTAGGGCTCCAGCTTCTGACCGAGCATCTTCGTATAGTTACCAGGGCACTTAGAGTAGTATGGGCCCTTGAAAGAAAGGCCCCTTTTCTACACCGTCTATACGGGGTCTTACGAAAATAAGAAGGACTCCCAAATAGTAGGACCCGTTGTACTAAGGACCCCAATAGGGTATCCCTAATTTCGTAAACCCCCTTTTATACCCTGTACAGCCCAAGCGCCCATACTTCAGAACCCTTTAAAGCAGGTAGTATGGGCCCTCAGGAGCCCTTGTACACCCTGTAAAACCCCAGGTACCATACTTCAGAATCCTTGTTGAGGGGATTCAGGGTATGGGGGATTTAGGGTTTAGGGTTTAGGGTCTAGGGTTTCGGGGTTAAGGGGTTTCGGGTTCAGGGCTCTTGGAAGCGACCGTGCTCAAGGGCCATGAAACTACCGTTTGCACCCTAAACCCTAAACTCTAAACCCTAAACCCTAAACCCTAAACCCGAATAGCGAGGATCATGAACATCGGTGGCGAGGAGCTGAAGCAGGCCAAATCGAAGCTTGAGGCGAGGGATGGATTCATATTTGTTGTTTAGGGTTTAGGGTTTAGGGTTTAAGGTTTAGGGTTTTGTGTTTTAAGGGCGTTTAGACCCTAAACCCTGAACCCCGAAATAGAGTTTAGGCTTTGGGGTTTAGAGTCGGGGCCTTGTTTTCTTTTTTGGGAGAGGGAGGGGCTTCATGATTTGAGCTTTGTTTGGAGAAGGCCGGGCTTTTAAGGGACCCTTGAAACGGACCTTCAGGGCTACATTGGGGCTACTTAGGCATATGGGGATTCTATAAGTCACATATAGTATCATATAGGGGGGTTTCTAGGGAATAAGATCAAGGGTCCCTTCTGGGGGTCCCGCCCTTTTGTCACATTAAGGTTTAGGGCTTATGGTCTACACGTCTCCTTGTTTAGGGTCGAGTTTGTGAATACTAATAAAGCCCAGAGTTATCATGATGTAAACATTACTTTTCTCGGTTTCTGTCTCACTGCATGGTGAGCTCTCACAATTGGGTTTAGGGTTTAGGGAATAGGGTTTAGGGAATAGGGTTTAGGGTTTAGGGTTTAGGGTTTAGGTCCTTTTGTGGCTACTGTGATTATTCGGGGCCGCCTTATCAGAGCAGCCCCAAAAGGGACGGAGGATCCCTCACCTAATTCTGAACCCATGCATCCCAAAGGACATCCCGGCCCTAAACCCTAAACCCTAAACTCTAAACCCTAAACACTAAACACTAAACCCTAAACCCTAAACCCTTAAACCCTAAACCCGTACACCCAACACTTTGAGCGTTTACGAGCCCTGCCATGGCAGGAAGCAACAAAGAAGTGCGAGGACATGCGTCACAAGTGCAAGAAATCCCTGCTCGATGCGGACAACATGGCCGCGGCCTTATGGATTTGCTTAAAAAGGGGGGATGCTCATGGAAGGAGCTCAAGGGTTAGGATTAGGGTTTAGGGTTTAGGGTTTAGGGTTTAGGGTTAGGGTTAGGGTTTAGGGTTTAGGGTTTAGGGTCTACTGTTGAGGGTTAGGGTTTAGGGTTCAGGCTCTAAGGGCAGTTTGGACCAGCTCAGACTTCCGAGAGCCCGAATCCGTATATGGCCTGCTGACCCATAGGAACTGAGATTTTTCGCAGGAGCCCATCCAGCTCAGGGTTTTACGGGTCAGGGTTCAGGGTTTCGTGTTTCGGGTTTACGGTTTAGGGTTTAGCAATCTGGGGTGTGCTTCCCCTGTCAGGTGCAGCGAGAACACCTGAGTTGTGTTCGAGGGCTTGGGGTTCTGGGTTCGGGAACCCTAAACCCTTGACCCTTAAGCCCTGGACCCTAACCCCAAAACTTCCTGTAGCAGGCATGCAGGGGTCCCTGGTACCAAGATTCCGCCTATAGACCCACTGTGTTCTCGCGACATGCAATCCCCCTTATCCTCAGAGTATACTGGGAGTCGGGGGGGGGGGGGGGGGCTCGGGCCCTAAATGCTATGATAGTTTTTTGGGGGAGGACTATTCTCATGAACACACTACTTGCAGTTTAGGTACCAAGAAGGCTCCATAGCTCAGGACCCTTTCCCTCCAATTGTACTTACTTCGTTTGCGTGCACAGGAGGCGCGCCTGTTTTGACATGGTTGAGGCATTGTAGTAGGCAGATAGTCTTTAGGTTGTGTACCTGTTCGCAAAGCTAGGATATGTAAACCCTTAACCCTAAACCCTCAAGACAAAATAAACCGAAATTGTATGCGATGTCATTCTGATTTTTTCAGGTTTTTCGTCTAAACAGCTGACAAGCATAGTTTAAGTACATTCATCCACAACGGAGGCCAAATGCTCAATTTACCTAAATCTCTGAGGCCTTCCCGCCCAAAGAGCCCCAAGAGGCCAACTAAGGCCGGGAGGCCCAAAACATATACAAATTGGGTTGTAAGGATCCTAAGTTAGGTTACAAGTCCCTTAACTACAGTTAGTATAGTAAGGAGGCCCAAAAAAATTAGATTTGGTTGAAAAACAGAAACGTTCGCTCAAAACCTTTGCTCGGAAGTTTCGACCTCATTGCGAACTAGTCCCCCCCCCCTCCATAAAAAGCCTAATATCTAAAGCTTTCGCTCAAAACTTTCGCTCAAAACGTCATTGGGGCCCAAACCCTGTACAATTTCGGGTTGATTCGCATGTGCAAGTCGCAGCCGCGCTGGCAATGCCTTGCCACAAGCAGGCTCAGGGCTGCTAACCTACTACAGTGTTCAGGGTTTAGGGTTTGAGGTTTAGGGTTTGGGTTTAACTTAGGGTTTAGGGTTTAGGGTTTAGGGCTTCCCAGTGGCTCAAAAATCCCGCCATGGCAGACTCGGGCGCGACGTGCATGACCGAGCAGGATGCAGGGCAAGAGACGTACGACCGGCTCCCCGAAGCGTTGAAGGGCAAAGTGGCTTGGGAGCCCTGAAGGGTTTAGGGTTTAGGGTTTAGGGTTTAGGGTTTAGGGTTTAGGGTTTAAGGTTTAGGGAGAGATAGGGACTGCATTAGGTGTGTATAGGGGGGTTAGCTTAGTGGCAGCCTTATTATAAGGTTTTAGGGTTTCAGGTCTAGGGTCCGGTGGCGCCCTTTTCCCTTTTTTGGGGGGTTCAAGGTTCCTCACAAAGCAACCAACCCCAAAAAGGGTGCCCTTATGATAATATTGATATTGGGCTACCAAGGTGGAAAGATTCTTCATGGGAATGTCCAAGGCCGACATCAAGAAGGAGTGTGCGAAGGTGGAACGGCTGGCAGAGAAGCTGGAGAAGCTGGATGTTCAAGAAATCTTCGGAAAGAAGGGCGCGAAGTGATGTCGGTAGGGCCTTAGCACGCGCAACTGGACAGCAACTCTCTTGCCGCTGCTTGTGCCGCCCTTGAACAGGCCAACCTGCAGCGGGAATGTTGTCTTTTGCTTGTACAGAAGGTTGCGAAGAGTTCAGTGCTTTCTCGAAAAAAAGGGTTTCCCCAAACCCCCCTAAACCCTAAACCCTAAACCCTAAACCCTAAACCCTAAACCCTAAACCCTAAACCCTAAACAAAGGGTTTTGGGTTTGGGGAAACCCTAAACCCGAAGCCCTAAACCCTAGACCCGAAACCCTAAACCCTAAACCCTAGACCCTAGACCCTAAACCCTAAACCCTAAACCCTAAACCCTAAACCCTAAACCCTAAACCCTAAACCCTAAACCCTAAACCCTAAACCCTAAACCCTAAACCCTAAACCCTAAACCCTAAACCCTAAACCCTAAACCCTAAACCCTAAACCCTAAACCCTAAACCCTAAACCCTAAACCCTAAACCCTAAACCCTAAACCCTAAACCCTAAACCCAAACCCTAAACCCTAAACCCTAAACCCTAAACCCTAAACCCTACCCGGTTTTCTGCCTTGGGTGCAAGAGTGTTCATTTGATGCCGTACCGTGTGCTGCCCACGTGAGGTGAAGAACTCGAAGAAGGCCTCCATTCCGGGCCGCAGTGTTGGGAGCTTCTAACCGCCAGGGTTTAGGGTTTAGGGTTTAGGGTTTAGGGTTAGGGCTTAGGGCTTAGGGCTTGGGGCTTAGGGCTTAGGGCTTAGGGCTTAGGCTTACGGTTTAGGGTTTAGGGTGTATGGTTTGGGTATTATAACCGAGACCCCCCCCCCCCCCCCCCCCGCCACAAATGCACCCACAGGAAGGCTAGGGCTCTACAGTACAGGGTTTAGGGTTGGGATGTTCCTCACTTTTACTACCAGTCCTTAGTAGGGATTAACATAGGGGGTACTAGAATCCTTATCAAGGACTGTTAGTATAAGGCGGACATCCCAAGTTTAGGGTTTAGCGTGGGGTTAAGGTTGCCTACGTCTGAACAACAACTACGAACGCTATTGCCCTAAAGTCCCTAAATAGGAGGTACTTTAAGGCCCAAGTATTCCAAATTTAGATACGTGGACCCTTAGGGAGTCTTTAGGGTGAAGGGACTAGGGGTTCCAATTTTCCGAGGGCGAGGTGCAGGTGGGCGGACAGGGATGGACCTTCGAGTCTCCATTCTCCCACAGGACGTTTAGGGTTAAGGGTTTAGGGTTTAGCGTCTAGGGTTTAGGGTTTGGGATTTATGGTTTAAGGAGGACCCGAATTACCCTAAGGGTCCATGTACCTAGGTAGGGAATACTAAGGCCTTAAAGTACTTCCTACACAGGGACTTTGGTGAACAAAGCAGCTCAGTGAAACTTAGACTGCGTTGGTTCACTTCCGTGTGAATGCTTCTGATTGCCTCAGAGAGGCCGAAGGCAACCTGTACCGTAAAGTTCGCCGAACTTGTTCAGAGGACCCAAAGTAGGCCCTTGTTCCCTTTTTTGGGGTCTGGGTTCCCCTTAGAATCCCCCTTTAAGCCAAAAAGGGTGCCCTTTTTATTCCTAGGTTACTCCCTGGGTCTAGCCCTAGCCCTGGTTCTAAGCCCTAAACCCTAAACCCCAAACCCTCAACCCTAAACCCCAAACCCTCAATGGTTCTGGTTTCCTGGGAGAGGCCGAAGGCAACGCCAAAGCCGCTGCTGATGAGTTCAAGGCAGGCTGCATGGGTTGAATATGAACCCTAAACCCTAAACCCTAGACCCTAGACCCTAAACCCTAAACCCTAAACCCTAGACCCTAAACCCCAAACCCTACACCTACCTTCCCTTGGAGATTACCAAGCGTACAGTCTGTACGTTCGGAAGGGATTTGAGAAGTATGTAATAACCCCTAACCCCTAAACGTTCTGATGGAGACTCCTACCAAGCGAACAATCTGCACATTCGGAAGGGACTTGAGAAGTATGTGATAGATAGCCCCAATTGTTGGTGTTCGGTTTGACCCGAAGGCAAGGTTGAAGATTCCCAGTAGGGCTTGAGGATGTTCGGTTGAAGGGCAACCCAAAACCCTAAACCCTAAACCCTAAACCCTAAACCCTAGCTAAACCCTAAACAGAATATCGGCGTGGGCTTGAGGCCTCCAAGTAATGAAGCAACCTTTTCAAGAATGCGCCTTGTACGAAACCCTAAAGCCCCCAGAGTAGGCTCTTATTCCCTGTTTTTGGGGATGAGGTTCCCCTGTAAGCCCATGGAAACCAAGAAGGGTACCTTTCCAGTCCTAGGTTACTCTTTGCTCTAACCCTAAACCCTACACCCTAAACCCTAAACCCTACACCCTAAACCCTAAACCCTAAACCCTCTCTTACTATGTATATTTAAACCCTAATGACCTTCGTCGGCAAATGGTTTTTTTCCACCCGGGGGGGGGGGGGGGGGGCCCCTAAACCCTGACCCCCTTCGTCGGCAAATGGTTTTTCCACCCGGGGGGGGCCCTAAACCCTGACCCCCTTCGTCGGCAAATGGTTTTTTTTCCACCTGGGGGGGGGTCCCTAAACCCTCTCTTACTATGTATATTTAAACCCTAATGACCTTCGTCGGCATGTTGTTTTTTTTTCTGGGCCCTAGGGTTTAGGGCCCAGAGTTTTTTTTCAAGGTTTTTCAGAGTTTTTCAGTGTTTTTCAAGGTTTCTCAAGGTTTTTCAGGGTGTTTCAGGGTTTTTAACCCTCAATAGGGTTTAGGGCTGTAGGGTTTGGGGCATAGGGTTTGGGGCATAGGGTTTAGGGCCAAGAGTTTTTTTCAAGGTTTTTCAGAGTTTTTCAGTGTTTTTCAAGGTTTTTCAATGTTTTTCAGGGTTTTTAACCCTCAATTCTGATGAAGGGCCGCCCGCGCGACCTTTTCACAGCCTAGTTTTGGTCAAGGGGGGGTCGTATTTTTCAATTTTAAAGGCAAAATAGTCTTCGGAGACCCCCCCTTGCCTCAAACTCCGACCCCCCCTTGAGAGGGAAAGTTTGCTTCCAAAAACACCCCAAATTCAAATGAGGGGGACCCCAGGATCGGCCCGGGCCACAGTTAAAAATGCGATTTTTTAGTACTGAAATCGACGGTTCTGGGTGGCCTCTTGTTTCTGGATTTTTGACCAAACCGAGCCTTTACCGGTTTCAGAATTTCAAGTTTTTCAAGGTTTTTCCGAAGTTTTTCAAGGTTTTTCAAGGTTTTTCAAGGTTTTTCAGACTTTTTCAATGTTTTTCGATGTTTTTTCATGTTTTTCAGGGTGCTTCAGGATTTGTTTTCAAGTTTAGGGCTGTAGGGTTTGGGGCATAGGGTTTAGGGCTGTAGGGTTTGGGGCATAGGGTTTAGGGCTGTAGGGTTTGGGGCATAGTGTTTAGAGCTGTAGGGTTTGGGGCATAGGGTTTAGGGCTGTAGGGTTTGGGGCATAGGGTTTAGAGCTGTAGGGTTTGGGGCATGGGGCATAGGGTTTAGGGTTGTATGGTTTGGGGCATAGGGTTTAGGGCTCTTAGGGTTTGGGGTATAGGGTTTAGGGCCCAGAGTTTTTTTTAAGGTTTTTCAAAGTTTTTCAGTGTTTTTCAAGGGTTTTCAATTTTTTTCAGGGTGTTTCAGGGTTTTTAACCTTCAATTCTGATGAAGGGCCGTCCCCACGACCTTTTCACAGCCTAGTTTTGGTCAAGGGGGGGTCGTATTTTTCAATTTTTAAGGCAAAATAGTCTTCGGAGACCCCCCCTTGCCTCAAACTCCGATCCCCCTTGACAGGGAGAGTTTGCCTCCAAAAGCACCCCAAATGAGGGGGACCCCAGGATCGGCCCGGGTCCCAGTTAAAAATGCGATTTTTTAGTACTGAAATCGACGGTTCTGGGTGGGCTCTCGTTTTCTGGATTTTTGATCAAGAGCCTTCACCGGCTTCAGGATTTCAAGTTTTTCAAGGTTCTTCAAGGTTTTTCAGAATTTTTCAGTGTTTTTTAAGGTTTTTTCAATGTTTTTCAGGATGTTTCAGGGCTTGTAACCTTTTGAGGAAGGGCCGCCCCCGCGACCTTTTCACAGCCTAGTTTTGGTCAAGGGGGGTCGTATTTTTCAATTTTAAAGGCAAAATAGTCTTCGGAGACCCCCCCTTGCCTCAAACTCCGACCCCCCCTTGAGAGGGAAAGTTTGCCTCCAAAAACACCCCAAATGAGGGGGACCCCAGGATCGGCCCGGGTCCCAGTTAAAAATGCGATTTTTTAGTACTGAAATCGACGGTTCTGGGTGGCCTCTCGTTTTCTGGATTTTTGACCAAAACCGAGCCTTCACCGGCTTCAAGATTTCAAAGGTTCGTCAAGGTTTTTTCAGATGTTCCCCCTTGAAAGGGGAAGTTTGCCTCCAAACCCACCCCAAATGAGGCCCACCCCACCCTCCCCGGTTTGAGAATTAGATTTTGGGTTTTCGGCCAATTGGACCTTGAGCTTTAAGCCTACTGGGAATGTATTGAGTGGACTTTGTATTTTCTCAATGTTATGGGTTTCTTGGGTGGGTGGGGTTTTATTCCAGCCCTTGACAAGCTGCTTGACTAGTGAATGCTCGGACTTGAGATGCTGAACCCTAAACCCTAAACCCTAAACACTAAACCCTAAACCCCAAACCCTAAACCCTAAACCCTAAACCCTAAACCCTAAACCCTAAACCCTAAACCCTAAACCCTACACCCTAAACCCTAAACCCTAAACCCTAAACCCTAACCCTAAACCCTTCCCTTGTTCCTACCAAGAACCTCCTCAGCAGCTGCGCAGGCAGAGGAGAAGAAGCTGAAGCCACCACGCAGCATCAAGGGTTGGGGAGTGATGATGGAGATATTTGGTTTAGGGTTTGGGGTTTAGGGTTTAGGGTTTAGGGTTTAGGGTTTAGGGTGTAGGCCTTGGCCCCAAGATTTCCTGTACCAAAATCGTAAATCCTCGCGCTCCGATGTCGTTGTAAAGGAGGTAGTTTTCTTGCCCAGGTTGAAGGGGGTTTAGGGTTTAGGGTTTAGGGTTTAGGGTTTAGGGTTTCAGGTTTCAGGTTTCAGGTTTCAGGGTTTAGGTAAACTGGAGCCCTCCTGGGACCCAGAGTAGGGCCCTTGTTCCCTTTGTTTAGGGCTTCGGTTCCATTACAAGCACCTTTAAACCCAAAAGGGCAGCGGTTTTATTCCTAGGAAGCTCTTCGGTCTAGCCCGAAACCCTAAACCCTAAACCCTCTGCTCCCTGAACACTTACTTTCAACTAAGGCTGAAGTCGCTCAGGCTTTAGGTGTTTTGTTTTATGCTTCTTATGCTAGGGGCTCCACTCTTCAGGCTGGGGGGTAGCTAGCTCACTCTCTTGCGGCCGGGACCCCAAAACCCTAAACCCTAAACCCTAAACCCTAAACCCTAAACCCTAAACCCTAAACCCTAAACCCTAAACCCTAGGCATCCCCGGGTTCGAAGGCTTTTGCGCGTTTCAGATGCAGCTCGGGTTGTCGACTGCTCCCAACGGGCACGATTTGGGGTTGAGGGTTCAGGGCTTAGGGCTCAGTGCTTAGGGTTTGGAGTTTAGGGCCAGGGTTTAGGGTTTAGGATTTAGGGTTTAGGGTTTCGGTTTTAGGGTTTGGGGCTTAGGGTTTAGGGTTTAGGGACTCTGCCCAAGGAAGCTTAAGGAGGAACACTCCAAGCTGGATGACAAAGCCGAAGTGGTGCTCAATGAGTACAACAAGATGCGTCTCGGCCGAGCATGCCTGGGTTCGAAAGACTACAGGGTGGGGCCCCCTTACTATACTAACTGTAGTTAAGGGACTTATAACCTAACTTAGGGTCCTTATAGCCCAATTTAGGGCCCTTATAACTCTACTTATAACTAGGGGGCCCCACCCTGTAGGACCCAGAGGAATTCTCAAGGGACGAAACCTTTGTCAGGGATCTTAGGGGTCATTTAGCAGTTGTTTGGGGGCTACTTAGCTATATAGGCTTATATAAGGTGTATACTTCTATAGATGAAAGAGAAGGCCCTTTAGGGTCTATGTTGCGTCTCTTTTTGCTTGTACTTAAAAAAAGTAGTTTAATTAATTCAACTAATTAAATTAGTCAAATTAATCCAATTAAAGAATGGCCACAGGCTTGAATCCAGGATTTCGGATTAATTGAATTAGTTCAAAAATTGAACTAATTTTATATAAGCCAACACGCAGACTTTCGAATATGCGAATCTGTGTGCTAACATAAGGCGACATGGTTCGCACCTGCATCCAAGAAGCTTCGTGGGAATCTTATCCACACTATTTTTTGCTTCTTGTCTATGCTCATTTAGTGATGTTTGGAGGTTAATTTCGAGGTTTCAGCTGCCGCTCCAACACCTTGTGCGTTCCCAAAACCCTGTAGGAAGTTCAGAACGATGACGAGGATGGACGACTGGTGGTTGTTTCCTTGAGAATGCAACAATTCCTAAGGGTTGTTCTTAAAGTGAGCTTAGTCGATCTGCGCGTATTTCGTCTGAGAATCTCACAAAAACCTTGTTCAGCGACTTCGTGACCATTCGTTTGTATACACATCAATGATCTGAAAGTCAACGACGGGAAGCGTGGGGAGCTTGGAAGGCTGATGACTCCAAGGATTATGACTTGAACTGTCCAGTTGTTGTGCTAGAGAGGAAGACATGTTCTTGTGGCGCTGCGTCAGGACACAGCATGGTGCTGGCACGAGAGCCGGCCAGGCGGATGCCATCGCAAGAACTGCAAGTTCAGGCATTGGTACCGCAAGTTTTGGTAACGTCGGCACTTCTCCTGCTGGTGGCTGTCAAGATTTCAGCCTGCTACCTGGCCATGTCTCCTGAAGTTCGCCCCTGCGAAATATCGTGGAAGCACAGCTTCTGAGTTGCCAACGTTTCTTTAAAACAATATAAGCAACCCTAGCAAAAGAATGAGCGCCAGGTCGAGTCGCTCGTGGGCCTGAAGGACGTGCGTGCGCTCTGGATAGAGCAGATCCGACGTTGCGGTGTGCAGGAGGCGGCAGCAGCTCCGGGTCAAGCGGCGCGGCTCTGGCTGATATTGCAAACGACGGGGAGTTTGTTCGGCTGGACATCGTGAAGCTGAAGGCCACGCACGGCAAACCCGCCACGCGCAAGAGCATGCTTCAGCTTGGCAGCGCCTCACACAAAAGCCACCGCGGCTTTTACGTGTGTGACGCGGACTTGTGATGGGGAAACACTGTTGTCATGGGGCTAAGTGCTGTGAGTGATTTTCGCCTTTCGTGATTTTGCACGTTGTGCGACTCATGTCTGCATGCCGCTGCCGGTTACATGTGAAGACACAGACCGATGACGGTCCTGTATAAGGACGCTACCTCTGAATGTGACCCGAGGATTTTGTTAGTACATACACGGTGCTCGCGTAGCGCTTTTAGTTCTTATCATTGCGCAAACATGGTGCTCACAGGGTGCTTACCTTACACGCTGCTTACATAGCATCCCCCTTCCGTACAGCTTACATGGTACTTCTGAGGCACTTGCAAGTGACTCCCAGATCGGTGACTTACACCAAGCAAGACAGCGCCAGCGCGTACTGTTCTCCGTGTGCGTCAATCTGACCTTACAACATGACCTCCAGTTCTGCCCCTTACATCCTGCTTAATCCCATCCCCCTAATATTAAACGGGGGGGCCCCCCCCCCCCCCCCCTGCTTTAAAAATCGAAAACTGTTTTTATAATTAGGGTGTGTTTTTATCGAAATGTCATAATTCATTAGACTTCAGGGTTACTCAAGTAATCAACTTAAGTAACCCTCTGAGGGTTTTATTGGTGTTGAGGGGTTTCTTGGAGGCCTGAACCCCCCCCCCCCCCCCCCCCCTAATTCGGAATAGGGTTTTAAAGGCGGGGTTGGTTTCGGCAGGATTTTCCGGAATGTGTTTTTTATCATTAGGGGTCCATTTAATAAATGGGGGGGAGGGATTATATGTATGCCTAGGCAGAGGGTGCGATAAATGCTGGAAGTAAGGCCTTAGCTCCTTGCCCCATGGAGCGGACGCTCCCTCACATATGAACGACAGCACTTTACTAGTCACCTGCGCCTCCCATGATCCAGCCGAACCTGACGTTAGTTTGGCCTACCCCACCCCAGGCTTGCTACCGGATTTAAGCTCATTTCCTCTTCTATGCGGTTGGAACCGGTTCTAAGCCTTCCGCAGCGACGGGACAGTACGACCGTCAATTTAAAGCCGGTTTCAAGCCCCAGCAAGTGCAGATGAGCTTAAAAGCTGAAGAAATATCTTATTCACTGTGCTCCAGCTTGACTCCGGTTTTAGGCCGGAGGAAGCCGCAGACCCAGACTCAGCTTAAAACCGGTTTCAACCCTCCTGGCAGACACCCATAAAGAGGCTTAAAACCTTTCGACCCTCCTGGCAGTCTGAAAGCCTTAACCTCATCCTTAAACACCCGGCTCTCTACAAACCCTGAACGCTTGTCATTCTGGATCTCGGGCAGTTCTCTATGACTTTATTGCCCAGCGACCTGCAGCTTCACACCTTCTGGTCCGATAGCAGGCCTAAACCCTAAGATCATCTTGCGGCCATGGCGTTCAATGCGTGAATAAAATACTAGTAAAATGTAAAAAGTAAAGGTTGTATGTATGTTTTTAAGTGTGATTATACAAACTGTGCAAAATGAACCTAAAGGTCCCAGCCTCATATATGTATATATATATATAAAATTTAATTACAGATTCATGTGTTTATATTTAGGTTTACATGTCTTTTTTATCAATATGTTATACCTATTTATTCATATGTATATGTATATGTCTGTACATACATACCTAGCCTCTAATTTCGTCGCTAGCGGAGGGTGGACAGGGGCCCGAAGGGTACAGGGGTCTTCGGCGAGGAATGATTGAATCTACAGAACCCTCAGAAAGGAGTTTTGGTGCATTCAGGGTTTAGGGTTTAGGGTCTAGGGTTTAGGGTTTAGGGCCAGTCGATCCCAAAGTTTGGGGTTTAGGGCTTCGGGGCAACCTCGGCCCCCGAATCCTTAAGCCCTGACCCTAGACTTGTGGGAGGGCGATTGGGAGTCGTGTTTTGAGCTTAGAAGGATGGTACTACACCTCAAACCCTAAACCACGCGCCCTGAAACCCGGAAGCCTATAGATTCCTAGCCCTAAAACCTTTACCCTCAGCTAAACTCCCACATGTCCAACGCGAAGGGTCCATGTACCTCATTGTTGTATACTTGGGCCCCACAGCCCCTATACAGAAAGGACTTTTAAGCCCCAGGCCCCAAGCACTCCCCATTCAAGTACATGGACCCCTAGGGCAACCCCTAAACCCTAAACCCTAAACCCTGAACCCTAAACCCAGGAAGGACAGCTTGACGGAGAAGGATGTTGTTCTCCAGAAGCTCAAAGACCAGCGTGACGAGGCGCCTTACCCTAGGCCCTGGCCCCCCTACCTACCTACGCCTGGTTTCTCAACCCCTAAACCCTAAACCTCTGTGGTTGGGGCTTGAGCCGCTGTGAGAGTATGTAGACCACGACTTTAGGGGATTGTCGGGGTTGTAGGCAGCAGGAGCCCAAACCTTTCACCTGTTACTCACACTAAGCTCAAGTACCCCTAATTCCTGGGTTTAGGCTTTAGGGTTTAGTGTTTAGGGTTTAGGGTTTAGGGTTTAGGGTTTAGGGTTTAGGGCGCGCCAGGTGATCAAGAAGGCGAGCAATCTCAAGAGTCAGGAGGTGGATTACGTCAATGAGATGGAGGCCACGCCAGCGCGGGAGTTAAAGAACCAGTTAAACCCTGTACCCTCAACTTGGGTTGCTTGTTCTGCCTTCCTGATGTATGTATATATATATATATATATATATGTATATATACATATGTATATATATATACACAGATATATGTATTCTTGTTTTTGCTTTTATATATATATACCCAGATATATGTATATATGGTTTTTTGTTGAAAAGGTAGGTTGTCTGGGCTACAGGGGTTGTCTGGGCTACAGGTAGGGTTTACAGGGGAGATAGGGGTCTGCCTTGTTGTTAAGCTTTTTTGGGGTGTAGGTTAGGGTGTACTTAAGGGTCCACTATACAGGTCTCCCGTTGAGTTGCTAGAGACATCAAGGGTACCTCATCGGATCCGAAAAAAAGGGTAAACCCCAAAGTCCGGGGGTCGAGATGGTGCAGCTCATGCGGTGGTTTACAACTATACAAAAGCCCCTAAGGGTCCATGTACCTCCTGATTGTATACTTTGGGCATAGCAGTAAGTGCTCAAATATTCCCCCATTCAGGTACACGGACCCTCAGGATAGTGCTCTAGGACGCAGGTATGTGGGGGCTTTGCGATAATAGGGGTCCCCTGACATAAACCCCCAAAATAATAGGATCCCCAAATATTCCGCATAAGGGTCCAGGTCCAGGTACCTCAATAGGGAGTACTTGTGCCTTATAAAGTACCTCCTGTATAGGGACTGTGGGGCCCAAGTACATAATAATGAGGTGATTTAGGGATAAGGACCCCAATAAGGAACCCCAAAAATCGTAAACCCCCATTAGGCTGTATCCAGGTTCGTTAGGGTTTAGGGTTTAGGGTTCAGGGATAGCGTTAAAGCTTGTTGGTGACTTCGGGGTTTCGTGACCTATGGGCAGTTTAGGGTTGAGGGTCTGGGGTTATCCCTGAGGGTCCATGTAGCTACATTAGGAGTACTTGGCCCTTAGCATACCTCCTATACCTCCTAAACAGGGCATAGGGTTGACGGCACAGAGTTCAAGACGCGCCAGGAAAAGACGCGCACTCTGCGTGAGTTGCACTCGCGTATGGCCTCCTGCAAGAGCAAGATGGAGGCACATGCAGGGGAAGGGGGGGTCCCTACACCCTGAACCCTAGACCGTCCTAAACCCTAAGCCCTAAACCCTAAACCCTCTGGTACTTTTTGATGGGAACCTGAAGCCTCGAACCCTAAGCTTAGATTGAGGAGGTTCCCGGTAGGTCCAAATACTGGGGGTTGAGGGTTTAGCGCTTGTAGGGTTTTCGGTTTAGGCTTTAGGTTCTAATTTATAGTTATACGAGGGTTTCCGAAATTCGGGATGCCTTATTTGGGCCTCAATATAAAGGAATCTCCATTGGGTCCCTTATATTCGTAATCCTCCAGATATTGACCGATTGAACTTCAGGCCATCCACTTCAAGGTTTGAGTGCTTCTTCTACAGCCAAGCGATCACCAAAGCTAACCCTAGACCCTAGACCCTAAACCCTAAACCCTAAACCCTAAACCCTAAACCCTAAACCCTAAACCCTAAACCCTAAACCCTAAACCCTAAACCCTAAACCCTAAACCCTAAACCCTAAACCCTAAGCCCTGATCATCACCCGTGAATCACCAAGCGTCAAAGCTCAGAACCCCAACCCCGAACCCGGAATCCGAAAGCCTGGACAGGGTGGGCACACTTGAGTCACCCTGGGCCCCGTAGACCCTAAGGCTAGACCCTAAACGTCCTGTATCTCCCCCCTTCATGTACCGGTTTAGGGCTTAGGGGTTTAGGGTTTGGGGTTTGGGTTCTTTAGGGTTTAGGGTTTGGGGTTTGGGGTTTAGGGTTGTGGTCCCTACAGAAATTTTCTAAAATACCACCCCCGCTCCCCCCCCCCCCCCCCCCCAAAAGGTTCTAGATTTCATAGGTTTTAGGACTCCTAGAGCCACCCTACACCCTACACCCTACAGCCTACACCCTAAACCCTAAACCCTAAACCCTAAACTCTAACCCGAAACCCTAACCCGCAAACACGTGAACTGCAAACCCCTGAAGCCGCAAAACTCCCCCTAGACCCTAACGCCTAAATCCCTTTAGGGTCTAGGGTCTAGGGTTTAGGGTTTAGGGTTTAGGGTTTAGGGTTTAGGGTTTAGATTTTAGATTTTAGGGTTTAGGGTTAGGGTTTAGGGTTTAACTGAAACCCTAGACCCCGCCTTGGAGGTTCATGGCACTTGAGAGCCCAATTATAACTCTACTTGTAACCCAAGTATAGCTCCCTTAGGGCACTGAGGGAGCTTCCAAGTGGCCTCTAAAAGGATATAAGTACCCAGAACCTCCAAGTAGAACCTCTAAA